TAGAGGTAGTTTCAGATTTGTCCATAGATGCATTTTTGAATTGTTTGAAAAGATTCTTTTCTCGCCGGGGTAAAAGTAAACATTTATTTTCAGATAACGGGAGTAATTTTGTTGGGGCGAACAGGAAAATTCAAGCTTTAACTGACATGTTAAAGTTAAACGTTAATAGTTTGCATAACAATTTGTCTCATGACGGTATCACTTGGCAGTTCATTCCTCCTTACTCCGCTCATTTTGGAGGACTTTGGGAATCGTGCGTTAAATCTGCCAAATATCATCTGAGAAGAGTTATTGGCGAGGTAAAGTTAACCTTTGAGGAGCTTTATACTATAGTTACTCAAGTGGAAGCCTGCATGAATTCCCGACCCATTTCTTGTTTATCCGATGATCCCACTGATCTCAACCCCTTAACTCCTGGCCATTTTCTCATTGGTGGCCCACTTGTTGCTCTATCTCAAGAGGATCTTCGAGATACTTCTGCAAATCGATTAAGCAGGTATCAAATGTTAACCCAGATAATTCAGCATTATTGGAGCAGATGGTCTGCTGAATATTTGCCTAGCCTAAATCCAAGATCCAGATGGTGGAAGGACAAGTCCCATCTATTGAAAGAAGGCACCATGGTCCTACTCAAAGATGACAACCTCCCTCCGATGAAATGGTCCTTGGGAAAAATAATGCATCTCCATCCTGGCAACGACAATGTGGTGCGCGTAGTGACAATTCGAACTTCATCGGGTCTCACAAGGCGTGCTGTCAATAAGCTAGTGCTGTTGCCAATGGATCAATCATGATGAAATTTCGGAAGTTAGTCAATACTTTCAAGGGAGGCGGCATGTTCAGAATTGGTTTATGGAACTGTCTTCGAACGCACCTTACTGTGTTATCGAACGCACTTATTGAAACGTTTCCAACTACATTTTTGAACGCAACATCATTGGACAATTGACAAAAAAAAAAACAGTTTTTATTATCACGGTTCATGAGGATGGTTTTGTCTTGGCAACAAACAAGTGCTCATTTTTTATTTGGATTGTATTGTAAAGCATTTTTTTTTTTTTTTGAATATATTTTATATCGTTACACATTCATTCATGCTCGTAATTGAATCCTGCTATCCTCTTCGAACAAATTGAAGTTGAAGTTAATACCACCAAGTCAGTCAATTCAGCATTAGGATTCGTCCCTACGAAAATTCTTAGAATTTTCGAGGACTTCCTCCACTAATTACCCCTATAAGTCCTGTAGATACTGTTGATAATGGTTTGTCAACTACTGGTAGTGAGAATGTGCCCAGGAACCTATCAAGAAATATCAAGCAAAAATTGGATAGCTTGTCTTTTTTATCACCCCCTTCAGTAATAATACAAGAAGGGTAGCTTCAAACTCTGTGTCAATACTTACCTTAAACATCCAATCTGTTCGTAATCCAAGAGTTTGAGGTTTTCTTGGAAAACTGTAATGAGCCAGATTTAATCTTACTCACAGAACATTGGTTAAAAAACTGGGAGCCTTTTCACTTACCAAATTATTATATTGTCTCACATTACTGTAGAGAAACCTCAAATGGGTATGTAGGTACAATTATTTTAATAAAAAAGTCTTTCTCTTTAACCTTCCATATGGAAAACGTTGACAAGTATGACTTCTTACGTTTGGAAAAAGAATTTGAATTTTCAATTGCATTTAACAAAAAACACCATTTGTATCTAATCTGTATATAGGGTGTTTGGCGGAGGGTTAGCCAAACTTGATGGGGCGTTTAGATAGGCCCATTTCGAAGATATTTTCTTGATACACTAATGCCCTTAAGGTCCCCGGGTTTTTTATATCCTTGCTTTTGTATTATTCTCAAGAATTTTTAAAAATTGACCTTTTAACTTCTGTAACCTTTCAACTTTCTGATATTATCAAGGATACCCTACAGACCAAAAACTCACGCAACTAACGTTTTCATAAGTAGGTATTAAAAAAAAAAGTTACAGAAGTTAAAAGGTTTATTTTTGAAAATTCTTGAGAAAAAATGATAAAAAAAATGGAGCTTAAGGCCACAATTGTATTAATAAAATATCTTCGAAATGGGCCTATCTATACGCCCACCAAGTCTGGCTAACCCTCCGCCAAACACCCTGTATATAGACTTCCAAGAACAAATACTACCGATTTTTTAGTGAACTTAGAAACAATTTTATTGGATTTACCGGTTACGTGTAGGGTCATATTGTCTGGCGATCTCAATATTTTCTCAACTTTTCTAATAACCAATCAGCAGCTACTCTAGCATTAAAAAACTAGCTTTACTCTTATGGTCTGTCTATGTATGTAAATTATCCTACCAGAGTGGCTGAAGAATCCGCTACTGTAATCGATTATTTCTGTACTAATTTGGTTAAAAACAAAGTTAAATGTGACGTAGTTTCCACCCCTGGACTGTCAGACCATGAGGCCTTGTTGGCCAACTGCTCACTACTTTGTACAAAAGAAAAAATACCCCAAAGATAATGGGAGTATTAAGAGTTTATTCAGGTGAGAACTTTGGAAAATTTAGAACTAGTTGTTTCTTGGCGGACTGGGAGTGTGTACTTACTTCTGAGCAACCACTGGAAATGTTCCATATAATCTTGCAAAATATGTTCACCAGAAGCTTTCCGTTGCGCAGTATGAGAGCAAAAAAGCCAAAAAAAAACTGGATAACGAAAGGTATTAAAACTTCCTCAATAAACCTTAGATCTTTACATTCTATTGAAAAATTTACTAATAATCAATACCTATTTTATAAATTATTATAGTAACTATCGGAAAATTTATAGAAAAATTATCAAAGCAGCAAAACTTCAATTATCAGAATAGAATGTCCAATGCAAAGAAAAGAGCCATTCCAAAGAGGCTTGGTCTATTGTAAACGATCTAAAGGGTAAACATAGCTATGCAGACAGGTCAGCTGATCTTCAGCCAAACATTCTGAATAAATTTTACTGTTCAATTGCAAAAAAAAATTCAGATAAGATAGACCCCTCCTTAGATCCCCTCACTTATTTATCTTAATGGTCCAAACATAGATGAAACATTTACTTTAACTGAAACCACCGTAGAAGAACTTAAAATCATAATGAGGGATATAAAAAGTAGAAATTCTGCTAGAATAGACGAGATGTCTGTCAAAATTTTTGAAAACCTAAACAACGATATTCTGTTCGTATTGTCTCAAGCCATTAGCAAATGTTTTGCAATTGACGAATCCCCCGACTCACTTAAAGTTGCTTTAGTGATCCCTTTATATATAAAACTGGCTCCTTCAAAGATCCAGCTAACTTCAGACCTATTTCACTCTTAAATATCCTGTCAAAAATAGTGGAAAAGGTGGTGAAAAAAAGACTCATTGAGTTTTTATCACGTAACAATATAATTAGCGATGGGCAGTTTGGATTTCAGTCATCCAAAAGTACAAGTGATGCTGTCTTTTGCTTTCTGAGGTTGCAGCTGCAGTTTTTTGCGACCTCTAAAGTATTCGATTGTGTTAGACATGACATACTCTTGAGAAAAATGTACATTTATGGAATTCGGGACACGTCATTGAATTTCTTTAATTCTTATATGTCTAAAAGAAACCAAATGTTTAAAAAAAATAGTTCCATATCATCATCCCTAACAATTGACACAGAGGTTCCACAAGGTTCTGTTCTAGGACCTATCTTATTCTTGATGTATGTTAATGACCTTTTTAAATTGCCACTTAAATGTATGTTTACTGGTTTTGCAGATGATATTACACCTCTTTGGCACCATAAAGACCCACAGCTCTTGAAAGAAAGTGATTCAAATTTTCTAAGTTTTAATACTGAAAAAACCAAAGTACTTAGTTTTAAATTTACATTTGAAAATCTGCAATTTGGAAATCAGTCAATAGGTCTCAGTGAGGATACTAAATTTCTTGGAATTAATATTGACTGCAACTTGGAATTTTTTCAACATATAATAAACTTAAATAAGAAATTAGCAGCGGCAGGTTATGCAGTACGCCAAACTTATTATGAATTGGGTCAGTCTATGGCTAAAACTACTTATTTTGCTCTTGTTGAGTCCCGCTTGCGCTACGGAATCCCTTTTTGGGGGAACTGCAGTCAGTATCTGTTCCAGTCAGTATTTACCCTTCAGAAGCGTTCTGTTCGATATATTTTTGGGGCAGGTCTCAGGGATCATTGCCGACCACTATTTCAAAGAGGAAACATGTTAACCTTGGTGGATATCTTTATCTTAGAGACTGTTTGCCTGGTTCACAAGAGGTACCATGGTACTAGACAAGTGCACTCCTATCCAACGAGGAACTATAACCTGGTACCTTTGCCCATACCAAGGTTCTCTCACTTACATAAAATTCTCTCATCTATACAAGTATAAAAATGTACAGTACAATAAGCTACCATTAAATTTAAGAACAGACCATAGTTATAAATCTTTTTGAAATAAAGTAAAACGCTTATAACTAGATATACCTAATTGTATTGTTATTGGTGTCGGTGTCGTGAATTTAGTATCTAAAGTTCAACTTTATGTTGTATGAAACTTATTTGACATGGTTTACCTAATAATAGATCGATAAGTTTTCTAAAGACTGACAAATTTCAAAAATTAAAAAAAAAAAAAAATACAAATTCACTAATATTTAATCATCCTATTTTTATTGTCTTAGCTTGTACCTAACTACTTTTAGTACCACCATTTCTATTTAGGTTTTAAGGCTTTTGTTTCCTCAATGTTAAACATCTACCTACCTATTTACTTGTTCTTTGTTTTTAGTGTTTTAAGGATTTGGCTTTGTCAATGAAATATATTTGCAATTTTCTGACAATAAAGCATATTTGATTTGATTTTAATTTGATAGGTATCGATAACTATCGCGCATGGCCAAGGCCATCGATGCTACGAGGGACGTCTGTTAATAACTGACTGCGAATTAATGTTGTAATGCGAATACATTACATCTTGAATCAAATACAAAATATAAAACAAAAATTATATTAAATAAAACTGTTTATATAAAAATAATGGAAAAGGAATAAACATAAACTTGAAAAATACTTTCTGTTGCTCATCTGGATATTCGACCATGGATAGCGTACTGTCTCAAAAGATTTCGGGCGATTTCCGCGTGCCCTGGAAAAAAATATAAAAACCATTAGAGTACAGTACAAACTTCATAGACCAATAATAGTAATAATGTGTTTTTGAAATTGTCGAAAGCAACAAAGCAAAATATCATTCACATAGAATTTATTAATTACTACTATATTTACCAATGACAATCCAAATCATTCCATTCAAATCACTATTTACAATATTTACAAAATTTAACAGATTTGGTGGTCAGACTAAAGACGCTACCTACACTGTATTTATATACTCCATACGTTAAATTAAATATGCTATCGCATAAAGATAGGTAACAGACTCAAAGTTTTGTCCGATTCATGGTTTTGATTCTCATAGCTCAGGATCAACTCAAAAATGAAACTCAGCAAATGCGCCGGATCGACAAGACTGCATCTGCAAGTCTATTTCTTATAAATGGTACTTATCTTTAGACAAACGCATATTGAATCTGAGCTCAGTACTCACCCAATTGTAATTCGATATAGATGACCAGCATTATAATGTGCCCAGGTACCTGACACGTGGCCGTACGCTGTTGCCAGATTTGTTTCAGCAATTGGCCTGCCTGATCCAGCTGCCCTCGAATCGTCATGGCAACAGCTAGGTTGTATCGCAACACCATATGAGCGCTCTCAAGGTTGTTTGGGAACCATTCTTGAAAAAAAAATCGCATTAACTAACTAAATTGTACATCCTACAGAAGAAATATTACATATTGTTACCTAAAAGCATTAGTGCCCTGAAGATTGTTTGATCTAGGACCAGATTGTTCCAGTAACGACTGAGAGCGAGTATTTAGGAGTTCTATTATGATTTAAGTACCTAAGCAATGGATTCTAGAGACTTCCCGAATGAATAACCGATTAGTTTTTTATTTAAAGAGCCAGTTTCAATATAGTTGACAGAAAGCATGATAGGTATTTGATCACTAAAATATTTTATTGTTAGTTAAGAATTACGCAGAAATTACGCAGCAATATAAGTGATAAGTGTCGAGTGTCTACGGCTATGTCGAGATTACCACTAACTAGGTATTGAACAGCATTTCAGATGCAAAATTTAAAAGGCCAACAAGTGCAAGTTTTTAAAGAAACATTTTCATTACATCACTAGTGGTAAAAAACCTGCTTACACAACTCAATTTTATTCAAAACAAGCTCTTATCTTATAAGTAGACACACATAAACTTACTTGGTGGAGGATTTGTTTTCAAATCTGCTGGTGACGATGGTGGAATATTAAAGGATATATTATCAACTGTTTCCGGATCTAGATGCTCTAAGGCCTCGTTGAGGTTGCCTGATAATATCAAACATTCTGCGGCGTATAAGTGGGCTAAAAGTCTAAGAAGCAGAAAAATAATTAGTAGGTAGTTCAAAAAATTCACACAGCTTACTTATGAACACCACACAATTGTTCTTGAGCCAATAATTCCTTGGAATGCTTTAGGGACGTTACGAAGTCGCCCAAACACAAAAATACATAGGCTGAGGCTACCAAAATACCGTTTTTGAGTGTCTGAAATAAAATAAATGGTTTTAATGAGGTCTTAACTAAAATTAAAGAATTAAAATCAATATACATATTAGTGAATACATTTATTGCACTGAATTTTAGCCATTGACCTTACAGAATTTTATTAATTTCTAGTTTCATAGTTACATTTTAAGCCTTTTGAGTGAAATCACAAAACGAATAGATAGAGTGATAAATATTGATACTGTTAATAACCGAGTTGATGTAGACTATCTGTGTATTGTGTTATTGTGTTTTTTAAATAAACTCTGCTATTATATTGCCAGGACTTCCATTATTTCGAAAGAAGGAAACTATAGGTACTATGCAACTCCTCCAAATGGATAATACGAAAAGCGGTGAAACTGCTATCAGATTGATATACCAGATTACTTTTGTCTATATGAGATTATGGGGGTTTCTATGATGTTAACAAAATAATTATTCAGATTTGATTGGATTTGGTGAGAATTTCATTATTGATTTCTATGTTTTTTTTTCTTTTTATCTTTGATTAACTGTCCCCTGTTCGGTCCCATTTTTCTGTAGGATTACTTTTGTGACATGTCGATTTTTTTGCGATAAAAAATTTCCTTCTCTCTAGTGATTTTCTGCGGATTTATTTGATTTAAACATTTTATAAATATGTATACTATCCCTTGTTCTAGTTCCATTTTTTGTCCTATAATTATATTCAATTTATCAAAGCACCTATTATGTTAAAATTATTACAAAAATATAAATACTTGGAATTTATATTATTCAGATATTTGTTCTTGTGATTTTTTAAATGCAATACTCACTTGATAGTAAGCTTTCTTACCTCTTGTACATACAAACATGTGTTCCAATCAGACTTGATACGATCTGACTGACTTTTATAACCAATGAATATGATGATCGCTGATACGAGTTGTTTGTATGACATGACATTTCAAGATACCTTATCTACTTGGTCTGTAGAGTGAGTGACTAAAATAACACTACAGGTAACCAATCATCAAGGTTTCTAGTGGTTGTTAATTGTGCTTTCTGGACAGTCTCCTATGAGCTTGGCAAATCTGCTGCAAGAACCATTCATTTTGGGTTAATTGAATTTCGCTAGGGATTCATGCAGTGATTAGCTTTTCAAATCCATTTTTCTACTGCAGAAGAAAGCAGTGAGATGTTTACATCATAATCTGACAGCTTTGTCGATGAGACTTTTGAGTGCCTACTTCTGACAATAAAGCATATTTGAGTTTTGAGTGTTAAATTTTAATAACTATAAGAGGGTATAAAGCTGGTAGAAATCCTTTCGCCTTTCGCCTCTCAGACCCTTCAGAGGTTGCTATATCTGTTCGGTGGCCAAAGTATAGTGACATGAATCTGGAATCATTGACAATAATTTCGGAGTCAGGGCATAGAGTTATTCTCAATATTAGATTTTGTATGGCCTTTGCTATCTTAATTTTCCCCAAAAAATTAAGCGCTCAACTATTATTACTTCGATTAGCAGCATTTTTTACTCATATCCAATTTTCATTGAAGTGCATAAAAAAATTAGCATTGTAATTTGTAAAAAAAACCATTAAACAATAATGATTAAGAATAAAATTCACGACAATCTGATTATTGTTCCATTATAATGCAAAGACTTCCAATGACATCCTCCTGCAGGCATTTTGAAAATAATTACAGAACAATTACAATCACATAGTCATTCTTTGTAAGATGTTCGATTGTATCAATAATACTACCTACAACATCTACCAGTAATGCATTTAACCTAACAATTGCTGATATTTGAAACTTTTTGTCTGTAAAGTTATCTCTCGAATTATCTAGAATACTTCTGGAGTAATTTGACAATTGTCACTATATCTATTATTACTATTATGCCTCTTGGTAACATCTATTTCTCCACGGTTTCATCAACATAACAAGAAACTTCGCAATTCCCCTCTATCAATTCCTGCTTCAATAATCCAATAAAGCATTATATTTTTGCTTAGGTCCCAGGACACTGCTATTTGGTAAGAAAGGTTTTTTACAAAGTTAATGAGTTTTCGCACTTTGATTTGAAGGAGCCTCATTTTCGGATTTGTGGTAGGAATGTATCAGCTGTTACTGTATTGGTTTGTGAGTAGTAGCCTCGTTTATTGTGTTAGGGTAACTTCAAACCTCTCTTTTTAAGTCTATTCAAGATTATGAAAAACCATGGATTATTATTATGAAATATATTTTGTTACAGGATTCTTTAGAATCTTTTACTTCTCTGTCTTCCCATCATGTAATTTTTACTCCAATGACAGACTTTTTCTGAGGATTCTTTATCCAGTTTTTCCAGTTTATATAATTTATTGTTTAATTTCAGAAAATGTAGTGTAGTGTCGCTAACTTGCATATTAGCCCATTTCCACCGCCCATGCTTGTGCAGTGTTCACGCTCGAGTAGTGCAACTACTGCGACACGTTCCTGCCGTAATAACGTCTGTTCTGGCCTCAAGCCGTCGTCGACTTGGTGCATAGTTGAGGCTCTTATCGGTTCAGGAATTTTCCCCTATTGTTCCTACCAACAACAACACCTCGATGCACCGTTTGTTGCACTACAAGCTCCCGTAGATAGCGGACAATTTGTGATATAGGGGACAGACCAAATTGCGAACCCCCAGTATTACGCTCGCAAGGAATTAGTGCAGTCAAACATGCAGTATAGCGATCCAAGTCAACTGACATACCCCCAATATCAGCAATCACAAGGGTCACCCCCGCCGATGCAACCAGTGACGGCCCAATATACTAATCACCATCAACAATCACCAATATCGCTATCACAAGATCAAGTGTCTCATCAACAGGCACAAACAGAATGGAATCTCGTATTATAAAATTGAAAACTTCTGAGAAGCCCCGAGTTATTGAGTACCAGAAAACAAACAAAAATTAGCGACTATTGGTTGCAAAAACCACTAGAAACAGCAAATAGATTTAGCAGTATATCAGAAGAAAATGGCGAAAGCCAAGAAAAGACGAACAAAAGAACACAAAGGCTGATATTAAGCCACCACCCATAACCATCTACAATGTAGGCCTACATATTCACGATTTGCTTAAGACTATTGTAAATGATAAATACACGATAAAGACCATCAGCTATGAAACAATAAAAGTTCAAGTTTTTGAAGCTAATCATTTTAAAATACTGATCCAGGAACTTGATAACATAAAAACGCAATATCACACATTCAGACCAAAAAGCGAAAAAACATTCAGATTTGTCCTAAGAGGACTTCACCACGCAACAGATACTGATGACATAAAGACAAGCCTTGCAGAACAAAGACATGAAGTAGTAAACATACATAATTTAAAACATCGCATCACTGAAAATCCTTTACCAATGTTCTTTATCGACATTACTCTCCAGGAAAATAATAAACAAATATACAATCTGGAAAAACTAGGTAACAATATAATTAAATGTGAACCGCCCTATACCAAAAGAATAATACCCCAATGTACAGGGTGATTCATTAAGAATGGCACTCGGCCATATCTCAAAAACTATTCATCGTAGACTTGTCGGAAAAAAATTATCCCATAAATATGGCCAAGAGAAAATGCTGGAAATATATTTCAGCTTTCTAAAATGACCGCAAGGGGGGCGCAACCCAACTGTCAAAGTACAAAAATGGTTTTATTTCTGAAATTTCAAATGGAAACGTATCTTAAAAATGCCAGCAATCGATTTTTGATGCAATTTCACACAATTTTGATCTATGACTTTTTGCCATAACTTATCGGATAAGACAGTTATGAGCTGTCAAATATTGCAACTCAAGAAAGCGGATAACTTCAAAACGACTCAACAAATCTGGTCGATCTCAGGTTCGTTGGAAAGACAAAAGTCTGCTCTTTAATTTTGTTGTGAAAAATTCAAATTCTGGTTAGTAGGATTGACGCTATGGGTCGATATTTGAAAACAATTGAATGTTTTCAATTTTTCTTAATATTTTCAAATGGAACGGTATATTTAAGATACATTAAATCGATTTCTGAGGATTTTTTACACATACTTTGTCTGTATTACCTTCCTACAAATGAATTCTAGAAAGTGTTAAAATTAATTTAATTTAAAATAATCAGTATTTATGAAAAAGCCCTCGTAGATAATGACTTTGTTGTGCTGACAGTTGTCAAATAATAAATAAAGTACGTTCCAAAATAATAAATGTTATTTTGGGTTAATTACCTTGCTAGTACAAGCTCTATAGAGCTCATAGTAATTCGTTTCAAGATAGAGAAACTTTTGGTGAATTATTCCAATTGAGGTTCAAGTCCCAAAACATGCAAGGTAATAAGGATTTTTAAGCGATTAACCGCGCGTTACAAAGCGTGTAACCATTAACCGTGTTATAAACGGTAACTGAAAATCTCTAACCTTTGAAATTTTAGCGAGGCAGCGGTAATAGGGGAACTTATTATGACGTCAATAGTGGAAATCAATGACGTCACGCATTTATAACACGGTATTGGATTCAGTAACCTATGCAGGACCTGGGTTACTGGTGGTTATAGAACATTTGACAGTTGGATTTTATTCAAATATGGGCGTTTGGGTTTTACCTCAATGGGTTTTACCTCACTCTAACGTAAAACCCGAAAATTAGGAAACATTATTGCGGGACGTGGACGTGGGTTTCTGGTTGTTAGTTTAAACGTAAAAGGTGAAAGAAACGCTCAGTAAGGTAGAACGTGTGATATCCAATCCATTCCTTGGAGATCTGGGGGACCAACAGGGCAGAAAATATTGAAATTTTAACTGAAGTAACTTTAAACAATGAAGGGAAGGATTACACCGTCTGTGTTCTTTTGGACAAAGCGAATATACTTTTTAATGTTAAAAAAATATGTGTACTGGTTTCTTGTTTCAGGTACCTACGCAAAGAGTACATTTTTAATAGTTTTCAATTCCAATTTGATTATTGTATTGATAATCCCGCCATCGCCATAGGTTTTTTG